AACAAAAAGTGACCAGGTCAAACCCTAAATGGAATCTTTTGTTGTGTGTGTACTGGAGATGGAGCCCAGAAGCATTCTGCCTCTATGCTACCTCCCCAACCGTTTGAAAATTTTATTTGGAGAGAAGTTTTCACTAAGTTGCTGAGGCTGGCCTGGAGCTTGGATCCTCCAGCCTCAACCCTGTGAGCAATCAGGATTAGAGGCATGAACCACCACCTTGGGCCCTAAATTAAGACCTCATCACTGGTGATCAGTGACCACGTCTGTCATAAAGAAGAAACTATTGTCAACCCTTCCCACAGGCAATGTCATATATTATGACTGAGATCTGAAAAAAGGCACATTGTTTAAGTGAATGAAAACATCTTTTAACTAAAAAAAAATCTTTTAATTATTTAAGTATTTAAAATTTTTATCAAATAAAATTATAATTAAATTTGATTGATTGACCAATGTATAATTAAGTAAAATATTTTTAAAACTAAAAAAAAATTAAGATAATACCTTTGGAAATGTGGAAATATTTTTCAGTCTCTAGGAGTCACATTACCTCGAATGCTGCTATTTAGGGAACCATTGGGGTGTGTGTGTGTGTGTGTGTGTGTGTGTGTGTGTGTCCTGGCTTGCCCATAACTCTCAGGTGTGAATGTGAGTGTCCCTCTACCTGCCTAGTCCACCGTTTTCATCAGAAGAAATGAGAAGAAATAGCATAAAAAAACTGAAATGATCACAACCCATGAAAGGCACTTAGCATTATCCCCAATCAATGAGATGCTCTTAATATTCTCACCTGAGCAGGAGTTCCCAGGAAAAAGAAGAAAGGATTTATAAAAATATCCAGAAGTTACCTATGTTGAGGCACCCTGCAATCCATACACATAAGACAGTTGCCTGGTCTAACAATTTCTCTGCAACTCAATTTATTGTGACATTGCCAACAATGTAGAAGACAGCGTGGACTGCAGGTATTGTTCACACACCACTGACATCTATCCACTAATCATGCCTCTGCCCATTAACACAGGTGAACCCGCTTACAGATCAGATCGCCATTGTCCACAAAAAGGAGCTGCACACATGTGGCGTGTTTGTGATCAGAACCTAGCCCCCTCTTTACCTCTCCAGCTTCCTACAACCTCTTTTAATTTTCTTTACCTGCTTGGCTTCAGATCTCATCTCTATCCACCTCTGACTCATTGCTTATGTGATGTCCTCCAATCACAATTGTTTTTTTACACACTGGCTGATCTGTGCTTATGGCTAAATGTCCGACTCTGGATCAGGGCAACTCATGGAATGCAAACTTCACCTAAGTTACTGGAGACTATCAAGCTAGACTCTACCTGGCCCTGTCTCCTGAACCCAGAATCATTCTATTTATGCTGTTTCTTCCTACATTTCTGATGAAAACAGCAGGTAGAGGAAGACCCATTCACACCTGAGAGTTATGAGCGAGCCAGGACACACGCACCCATGGTTTCCTAAATGGTGGCATTCAAAGTAATATGTCTCCTAGAGACTGAAAAATATTTCCACATTTTTAAGTGATCAAAAGGGATTATTTTAATTTTTTTTAAAAAAATCATTTACTTAATCATACATTTGTACATCAATCAAATTGAATTCTGGGAGGTGCACCAGGAGGCTCTCAAACCCCAGTTCACTAGGCCACAAGGAAAAGTTAGGACTGGGCTTTCGTTGATGATTTATGGCAGTGAATTCTCTACTTTGTACCTATAAGATCCAGCATCATTTTGAACAAAACTGAATTTCTTGGCTTCATTATATGAAATCTGTACAAAGCACTGTAATAAGGAACAAGCAAGGCATGATTTATGGCCTCCACATATAGGAGATTTAATTTTGCCTTTTGCTCAATGCCCTATCCATTGTGTGAGCAGAGTCAATACCAATAATGAAATGTAGACTGAAGGGCTAAATCAATCCAATAAAACGCAATAGAAAGACTAGAGGACTGAGTAAATTTGGAAAGGCTAGTGCCTGCAAGATTAGTATTTGGACAACAGGTAATTACGAAAATCAATACCTGTGTATGAAAACATGACAGGCAGCCATCCGTCACAAACAGAGAACCCATTACTAATAGTCTGGGCTCTGAGTAATGATGAGAGAACAAAACAGGTCTGGAGGATTCTTATCAGAGTTTTGCATGCATGTACACCTCCCCATGGACTGAGGGTGGAGAGGAAGGAAAGCTCTGGGCTGCTCATTCTGGGTTTTATTTAGGCCCTTTGCGCGTCTCTGTCCTCCTGGCTGACAGCAACTTTGATCTCATGCTTTCCATTCGATATCAGGGCATGCCCTCAGTCCTACACCCTTGCTTTCCCTCACCCCAGCCTCATAGGTACCAGGAACCATCATCATGGAGCCAGTAATCTATCAGGTACAGTGAGGAGGGCTGGGATAATTTGAACCACTACTCAAGGGTCAGCTGTTGGCAGGCACTCCAAATACTAAGAGGTGATACAGATGACCTGGAGGGGACCCAAGCAAAGTAAAAATAAGTACACACTGATATATGCAGACACACAGATGCACGCACAGAAAGACATATATATATATATATATATATATATATATATACACACACACACACACACACACACACACACACACACGTGCACACATATATTCATAAGGTAAAATAGCTTCAGTGTCTTAACTAGGTTCCTATGATGATGAGTGGATGTTCCACCACTAAGTAGTCTGCAGTCCCTTAATCCCCTCAAAGGTATCCACATCTCTATTTTAAAGGTAAGAGGCTCTAGTAGACAACACTGGTTTGTTCCAGGTAACCACTGATGAGCAGGGGCCCCAGTATGGGAAGCTGCCTCTGTCTGATGTGATATATGTGCCCCTTCACTGAACAGGCTCCATGAACCACAGGGCATTGAGGGTAATTCCAGTGTGGCCACAAGTAAGTCAACAGCCAGGTGCCAGCCAGCATCGCTATTGAGGCCTCCATGCCTAGGCCGTGAGCCCGGAGCACATACACAGCCAGTTAGGAAGCCTTTTCAAACTACCCTGAACCATGACGCCTGTACGGCCAGACCAGGCGATCCCTTGTGATAAAGTTTTGCCAGATGCAGTGGTGCACGCATGTAATCTCAGTACTTGGGAAGCTGAAGAGGATTCTCTAGGTCAAGACCAGCCTCAGCAACTTAGCAAGACCCTGTCTCAGAAAAAAAAAACGTCATAAAGGACTGGGGGACAGCTCTGTGGTAAAGCACCCTGATTCCTGGATTTCCATGTCTCCTTTCTTTCTGCTGCCCCTCATCTGAACAAGCTGATAGGAAGAATCGCCCTCCACACAAGGCCCCGTCCACAAGACAGACTCCATTGCGTACCACCCCAGGATCTCAAGCCAGACCCTCTCCAGAACTCTCTCAAGCCATTTTTTGGAGGGATTGGCAGCAATGATGTTCACTCTGGAAAGCCTCACCATGTGGGAAACCCACCTTTTTGTACCTTGGTGTGAGAGTGACCTTGGCAGTCTCAACACTGGAACCACAATTTGAGTGGGATCCAGCTCACTTGGGGGTGGACACCACCACACTCCTGAGATAACCTCATGCTAACAGTGGACGGAATGCTTTCATGGCCTGAGACACTCTCCAGGTTGCATTCTTCAGAACCTTACATGCTGGTACATGATGCCCTCATCAGAAGTCTGTCCTTCAGTTTGTATGGCTCCTTGGTTTTCTATTCAAATGACTAAGATGAGTTCCACTGAGGATTGGAGTCACATGACTTTGATGACTTTTTTAGGTCATTTTAACAGTAGGTATTTTTTCACATTTAAATTTGCCTTAGGTGGGCAATATTTTCTCTGTATCTAAATTTGGCAGAATTCACACTTGGGGCTGGGTAGTTCTGGGTTCTTCCCTGTGAATTATAGGACGTTTTGCAGCATCCCTGACCTCTACTCAGGAGACCAGTGGCATCACCACACCTTCCTCCAGTTGTGACAACCAAAATTGTCCCCAGACAGCAAATGTAACTCAGGAGAAAAATCACACCTGGTTGAACACCACTGCTCCACATTCATTCAAAAAAGAAATATGACTTTTCTGATAAGAATGGACATGAATCAAGTCCTCTGTAGTCCCAGAGGAAGAGAGGAAAAAAGATGAAAAGCTGCTGGGCTATATATATCCCAATGAGAGCAAGCAAAATCTATGATAAATTGCAATTATATCTTCAAATCTCTTCTTTCCCCTCTTAAACTAATTCAGACTCATCCTCAAAATTGCTTACATGCTATGGAGATGACTCATTATAGCTTATAAAATCTTTTTATAAAAAATTGATTACTCAGCTGCTTGTATGCAAATTCTTTTCCCTTATCTGAAAAAAATCAGAGTTGCAGTGACCACAGTGATTTTCCAAAAATAATCACACACCTCAGTGTGCTATGCACTTTAGAGTGTTCCCAAAGAACAGGGCATGTTAACAATCATTTATGTGATGGACACAGACAACAGTCTCTTTAATGCACCACATATTTCCATATTATATCTGCTGTTACCTTTGTAAATGGCTTCAAAATGCTTGTTTATAAGACAAAGCCATTTTATTGCCTAACATCCTCATTCTTTCAATGAGTTCGCCAAGAAGGATAGGCCATAGCTCCTCATATTGATTGCAATTTGAGGAGATAGCAATTGATGCTTTGGAATTTTTTAGGGCTTAGAGGCAGAGATGACTCCAGAGATGGAATTCAGAAGAGGAAGGCACATCACACCCACATGTGCCATTGACAATCTAGCCTCTACTGCTTCTGGCATGCATCCTTGGTCCTCTATGCCTCAGTATTCTAATGCTGGAAGAAAAGAATGATGGTTCAGTCTTAAAGAGAGATCTAAACCTGAAAACACAACTTTAGTTTACTGATGTCTTTTCCCATTGACATTTCTCTAAAAAATTCTGAATACTTACTCATCTGACACCTTTCATTTGAGAATCCAAGTAGTGCTTACCTCAGCTTTAATTTTATTGTCTCCAAAACAGAGGTGTTGTAAATAGGCTGCAGCATTAGACTGGACTGAAGGAAACTGATGTTGCAACATCTGGATCACTTCGGGCAGTTCTGGGTCTCTCCATCCAAATTCTCTGAACAAAAGGAAGGCAGGAGAACATGAGGATGAGCCCTCTAGACTGTGGCATCTGGTTAGCACACTGATGAATTGTACTTACTAGTTTACACATAAATAATTTGCAATTATTGTTCTGGTTTCCTTACACATAGACGCATCTAAGAGAGCATCCTGAAAAGATCAACTCATGTAAATAGTTTTTAAGTGCACCCATACACATTGATTATATAAGATTCTAGACACACATAGCTGGGTATGGTGGTGCACGTCTGTAATCCCAGCAACTTGGCAGGCTAAAGTAGGAGGATCACAAGTTCAAAGCTGGCCTCAACAATTTAGTGAGGTTCTTAGTGACTTAGCAAGACCCTGTCTCAAAATTGAAAACAAAAAGGGCTGGGGATGTGGCTTAGTGGTCAAGTGCCCCTGGGTTCAATCCCTAGAACCTAAAAGGAAAAAAAAAACATTATATATATATATATATATATATATATATATATATATATATATATATATATATGAAGTTAAATGTATCAACTAAAGTTCCACATTTATAAAGATTATGATTATGAAAAATAACAAGATGACCCATGATCATATTAATATAGACACTTTTTTTAATTTGGCTTATGTGGATACTTTGTAGAGATCACCTTTTCCTAGTATATTATTTTTTAAAAAACTGAGGCATGGCATTTAGCTAAATTTTCAGATATGAGAAAATATAATTCATGATAGTAGGTGATGCTGATATCATCATTATTTTCATTTTCGTGGTTGCTGTTTTTATAAACTTACTTTAAAAAAATAGAAGAGCTTTAGTCCTGAAAAAAGTAGGCAAAAATTAAAAAAATAAAAGATAAAACATAGACATATTCCTTTAATGCTTTTCTGGGGACAAAAGTACAAAAAACAACATGACATTTTAAGAGGAAATTATTTATTTAAAGACATTGATGTATTCACAAAATGTTAATACATTTTATGTACTAAATATTCTTTTCCTGAATCCTCCTTCTTACATCTGACCTACTCCTAAAAAATCTATTTTTTAATTTAAACTTAAGGAATATGCTCTAATATCCTAAATAAGAAGGGATATTGTACCATTGTCCAAATGGATATTCTTTTTTTGAAATCTCTCAGCTCAACCAGTTAGATCACAAGGCTGACAGGACCAACTCTATGGATTCTATTCTTGAAGCAGAGAACCAATTTTTAACTGAGAAATAAAAAAGCAACCTCTGAGACCACAGATAAAAACTTGACCCCACAAGGCACAGAAGGGTGCTATTTATCTGAAAGATGGGCTACAGGAGGAATGAGATGGCTGTGCAGCATCTACTCCTACTCCTCGTGAAACAACTCAAAAGCATGCGTCCTACTGATGCCAGGTCAGCGCTGTCATCTGCACGGAGAAGTCATGAAAAATAGGATGGAAAGGAACAGACAAAGGTTAAAAGTTTCCTCATAGGTTCTAACCTGTTCTCTTTATCTTTCCTTTATCACAACTGGTAGAGCTGTCAAGAAAACCCTGAAACATGTTGGTGCTTGCTTTACTGAAGACACTATGAAATAGGAAGGCTTTTGAAGTGGCTTTGTTTTTATTGGAAAGACAAAGCATTTGATTTCATGTGCACTGACTATTCAATAAGTCTACATACCTTCGGAGGCAGATACATGCACATTCTCAACAAGACACAAAGCACAATACTACATTTGCTGGGAAACACATATAAGTGACTGCTGATGCTGAATCCTTCTTGATATGTGATCACAGTAGAAAACCATTATAGACTAAATATGTGAAGCTGGCTCTTCTTTCAAATTTAATTTCCTTTTGTTGCATGATCCCAAACCACCTCTGCAATATGGAGATAGCATGGTCCTTCTCATGAAAGTAGCCCTCTAGAATTATATGCCTTGCAAATCACATCAAAATCTGCAGGGCAGCTACAAATTTAAGACAATGGGTGGCCAAGATGAATTCAGTAAGTTTAGGCTATTAGGAAGTGATTAGTGAAGAACTTATTTCAGTCTATTTTATTAACCAGGTGGTAATTGATTGCTCTATTAGATAGACAAAGGCTCATGGAACATACCTTTTGAACAAGAGCTTCAGGGGAGAAGACTTAGAGACTTTTTGAACACATGCATACAATGTAAACATGTGTATCCACAAGTCACCCCCCAAAATTCATATGGGACTGATGAACATTCCAAAGAATCATGAATCCAGAAGAGATCCAAGCTCCCTACTGATAGGTCAGAAGGAACCTGGCGCCAGCTTAACCCCTCTTCTAGCCACAAACCTCTGGAATCCCAAACACCCACCCATCCCTATTTCTACCTCCACAAACCTAGTTCTAACTGTCAGTCCCCTCCCACCTCACTGCCCTTCCCACTGTCATCTAACCATACTCAAATGAACTTGGCTATCTCCATTTCCTGCCTCATACCCTGTGTGGCTCCCAGCATTCCTGGTAAAAGGACAGTGAGTCCCCTTGGCCTTCTACAGTGCCTCCCCAGCTCTCTGTGCTGGTCACCCTGGAGACGGGTGGGCATCACTGTCTCCTGCCTCAGTTCCTTGGCTACTGTAGGAGGATGATCTCAGGATCTGGCATCAGAAAAACTGGAAAAGAGTTCAGAACTTGAACATCTGTCTTTAACTCTTGTATCTTGTGAATATGGGGTAGTCCCTTAGTCTTTGTTGACTTTGGCTTCCATAGATGAAATAGAGAGTAACAGCGTAATATAATAACAGAATAATATTACAGAGAATAATAGCACTGTTCTCATGGAAGATACCATAAATTGGTAAGTGCTTAGTAAACTATTCAGAGCTAGATATATTCTAGTAATTGTAATGCTAAGATTGCTATAGGGACATATTTTTCTTTTGTAATCATGTAACACCATCTAATTTTTTAAGAACTTCCCTTTTATTGACATGTATCCATTTGGACATTATGCTTATGTGAAGAAATAGAAGTGAAAAGAGAAAGATTGCTTTCGCTTGTAGCAACATTTGCCATTTTGAAACTATTATCTTTCTTGCTATTCCCTCAGAGTCAGGGTGGGTTAATGGGCAAGGTTTTTTGGATGGAGCCAGACCTGGTTAGAATCCTGCTGACCCATCAATTTTCTCTGCAGCCATGGGCTCAAGTCTGTCCAACTTGCCCCTGAGCCTCCACTGGTCAGAATGCGGTGGGGAGTATTTGCCACATAGATGCACTTGGAGTCCATCTTCCTCCCTGATATCATAATTCCTGCTCTGGTATATTGGTGGGAGATCAGCAATAACAGGCACAGATGGCACACGGTGTAGGCTCTCTAGAAATATCAGGTGTTACATATAACCAGACAAAGAAAAGGAGAATAAGAAGCAAGAAGCATCTATAATTTTCTAAGAAGCTGAACTCAACACTCATTTGTTACTGGGCTTCACTTCAGAATGTTAATGGAACTGGAGAATATGCAAATGTAACCTTTTCTTCATTAAAACTTGTCACATAGACCAACAATATTGTGACTAAACCCTCACTCATATATGGACTGTCTGAGCTGTTAAAATTACAATGCTTAGCACAGAGCTAAATAGCAAACAGTTTGAAGTTCTTTACAGAGTTAGACTGGGATTGAAACCAAAGTGTTGGAGGACTGTCATAACATTTGATTAAGTTTCCCCAAGGAAAAGTGTTGAGAGCCACAGCCGAAGGGGCCCCAGCAAACTTCCAGCTGCCAGCAAACTTCCAGCTGCCGGCTGATGATTGGCTCACAGTGGCCCCAGCTACATCTAGCTGATTGGCTCCTCCGCGGTGATGCTCATTGGGCTGTTTCCCTGCCCTTTCAGACCACGGAGCTGCTCATTGGGGGACTTTTTTGGCTCTGCCCACGTGACCCAGCCAATCGGCCTCAAGAGCAGGAGGATTGTGGGAGGTGGGGAGAAGCTTGTGTGGGAGAGAGAGGCTTGTGGAAAGCCGGTGGTGGCAGTTGAGGCTCTGAGGGTTTTTCCTGAGAGGCTGTTTTGTTTGGCATGTGTGGTTCTAAAAATAAAGTTAGTTTCTTTTGACAAGTGGCTCCTGATTGTGCCCAGCCAGACTGCGGCAGAAAAGAGTGTAGAGACACCCAGGGTCCTCACAAATTCAAACTTTGGTTTTTGACATAGCTTCATGTCAGAGGGGACACTGCTCACTTTGAATGCAACCTGAGTAACTTCCACTGGGAGCCTGACTGTATGGAAGTTATATAAAAGTGTGGAAATCTTTATCATTCATGAACTTTTGAACTTTTTTGAAGTTTTAAAGACCATACTGACTTTGACATTCATATCTAGAGCTATGAAGATAGGCTGCTTTGTTTTTTATGCTGCTTGTTGATTAAGTTGGAAGGGCTGAAGGGTGCTAGATATAAAAAAAAGGATTTTTAAAATAATAAAAAGAAGATACGTCAACTCAAAAGAACTTATCCAATGATACACACATGAAAGCACTAATGTCTCAACCCTCATTCCTGGATAGATTGTAACACAAAACAAATAGGATAAAGTTAATCACATTTTTAAAAAGTCTTTTTTTTTTTTTTTTAAAGAGAGAGAGGGGGAGGGGAGGGAGAATTCTTTTAATATTTATTTCTTAGTTTTCGGCGGAGACAACATCTTTATTTTATTTTATGTGGTGCTGAGGATCGAACCCAGCACCCCACGCATGCTAGGCAAGCGTATTACCACTTAAGCCACATCCACAGCCTAAGTCTTTGCTTTTATATAAACAGTAGCACCAGAATTAGGACTATCTAGAAAGTGAGTTCAATTGTTATACGGCTTTTAGACAGAAAGGGCTTTCTTCAGGCTTTCCATATTGAGTTAGATGGAATTCCCTGAACTGCGTCATAGGCATTATTCATTCCACCATGCCTTATGGGGCCAACCTCATGATGGAGCTGCCACTGTGCTCCACGGACATGTGCCCAGCTCACGAGGCACCTTCAAGTCACCTGTCAGTAGGAGAGAAATTAACA